TTTTACATATGTAATATATCAAATTTATCTTCTTTTAATGAGTTTCGATTTAACATCCATATTGTATGTATAAAAAAATTAGTTTATATTTATCTTTATGACAATAATAAAATTATTTTTAATATTAATTAGAAAAATAAAATTGTTTATCAACTAATATATTTATATTTCAAGTAGTTATATGGTATAAGTTATAAAAACTAATATAATATAACACATGTAAGTAATAAGTAACACATATCATTCTAAAAGTATATAGTAATATAATTTTTTTTTTTTTTTGTAAAAAAGTAAACTGAATTTAATATAGTTTTCTCATTAATTTTAAAATTTAAGAATAATTTTTTAACAAGCACCCGGTAATACACGAGTGTTGTACTAGTATATATCTAATACAGAATACGTTCATATATCAAATTAATCCTCATATTTTAAGTCGATTTTGTAACCATGAATGTTCATATTTCATATTGAATTTCAAAGCAAAAGATAAAACCCATACTAAGGGGTTGATTGTTTATGAAATAATTTGTTCAAAATGAGTTATTTTGGTTAACCATAGTTAATTTTGAAAATGTGGTATGGTTAGTTGTTAGTGGAATTTTAAAAATTTATTAAAATAATATTTAAAATAAATAATTAAAATCGATTTGATGTAAAAGTAAGAGATAAATGATTGGAAATAATAGGTAGTTAAAATTATGTAAGTGGATGAATAATGAATTAAAGTTGATGTGATGTGTAAGAATGATTGATTTATATTATTTAATTATATGAATAATATTAAAGATAGTGGAGTTGAGTTAAAGTTGAGTTAGATTTTGAGTTGAAATAAAAATAAATAAATTAACTCGTGTATAATCAACCCCAAAATTTTGATATCTAAAATAGATGCATCTTAACGATAAATAAATAAATGTATATAATAAAATAAAAGGAAAAGAAAAAGAAAAAGAAATACTAGGCCAAGTCAAATGCATACCGTAGTAAATACTACTTATTCAAGCTTATTTATTTATTTATTATTTATTTTTTAATACTTATTCAAGCTTGTCTCATGGTATAAGCACAAGGTTGACAATAATTCGAGTAATCTCTAACTTTTGAGTAGATTGTTTTAGAACTTGCCACACCAAGTATAGAAAAGAGTCAGAAAGACCATTAATGCATGGAAAAAATACTGTCATATATCTAATACAGAGTACAATAGGTTCACATTTCAAATTAATCCTCTTATATATTTCAAATTAGATTTGTGACCAGCTTATTTGATTATTGAGCTCTAAGCAAAAGTTGAACTAATCTTGATTTCTAATATAAGTACATCTTAGCATAATAATAATAATAATAATAATAATAATAATAATAATAATAATAATAATAATAATAATAACAAAAGGAAATTAAAAAGAAAAAGAAAGCTAAAAAGTGATCCTTAATACATGAGTGTTACTAAATACCGCCCCCTTTTTATTAAACATTCCCCCCAAAAAGAAAAAGACAATTCTATCATTTTTAATATTTTTTTGGGGGCCGGTCGGCCGCGAATTGCGGCCGTAACCATGCCGGCCTTCTTGTCGGTTGGCCGCACCGTTCACAACCTTTTTTCTCGGTTGGCCTCACCATGCACGACCGGTTTTGCCGGCCGACCGACCGACCAAATTTTTTTATTTGTAATCAAATTTTTATTTTATATTAGAATTTGGATATCATTTTATACATTAGAATTTATTATCTTATAGTTATAATGTAAAAATTGTTAGATTATAAATTATAATTACTTACCTTATAGAATTTTATTATTATTATGTTAAAACTTAGAAATTATTATATTATATAACATAATATTAATTGTCTCTAACAAAATACTAATGAGTGATTTTATTGAAAATTGTAGTCCCTTTTTTTCTTAAAATTCGCTCATTTTCAACTCGGTAATAAATTTTAAAATACAAAATAATATTCTTACTTAAATTTGAAATTCATAAATACCAATTAAAATAACAAATTGAACGAAAAAAGTCAGATTCAGTTCGAGCAATTCATTGAGACCGATTAATTCAGTATGATTAGATCGAATTTTATGACAAAATTTTTGACACTTTTCTCTGAGCAATATGATTCGTGTGAATATTATAGTAAAAAAACCATTCAAGGTCATGTTTAATTGATGTATTAATGAAAATGTCTTGCCGTTAACTTTCATCCTCTAATGGATTTGTATTTATTCGAATCAATTTTATCACGTTTGGGATCATGATGTTAGTGCATAGCTAAATTTAATTTCAATGCAACAATTAAACCATTAAAAGTTGTGTCACTTGGCCGAATGCGAGAATGCGAGAGTATTGATCCTCATTTGGTGGCACGTTTTGCAAATACGTTGGCCCTAATTAAGGCGATTGGGACATGACACAATATTGATTTAATGATTGTTATTTTCATTTATTTATTATTCTATTTTACTGTACGATTGACGTTTGGTTGAATTGTTTGCTTTTTTGTTTGTCGTTTATTCATTTTATTTTTATTCATTTCCATGTCAGACTATAACTAAACAATTCCATAACTATCAACGTATATTTACATGGTCTAAAATCAATCACAAACATAAGTTAAAATTAACGTATAACGTGACCGAATATCATAATATATCAAACGCCCCTGTCCCATCTTATACGATAGAGTGCAGCATCGATCCATTGAAATATAAAGGAGTGTAAAACTGTCCGTCGCGTTGTCTACCGGGTTTTTCTCATGAATCGCAGCTAAAATTACTGCTGATTTTACCTGAGCAACAGTCATATCACGGACCATCTCTTTAGATGAAGCGCTAATTCTGTTCATCTGTCGATGACCCTCAGCATACACAGTCATTGTAGATCATGCTTCCAATTTGACTTTCATCTCAAAAAGGCAGCTGGTCGCTTTAGTTTTCGAACGTCTCACAACAGTCTTAGCTAAAGCTTCTATACTGCCTCTGTAATGTTCCCCTCTGTGACACCTCAAAACGGGCCCTCTGATTTCCTTCTTTTTTGTGTTTCGAGATGATCAATTCAAAACCACATATAATTGCAATTTTTTTGCCCGCTCGATAGCTTCTTCTCAAATAGTAGTAATAAATTCTAAAGATAATAATTATAATGCATAACACCATAATAATTTATAAATTCTACGTACCGCCCCCTCAATTCTTTCATTGGAATGCACTTTTCATTTGAATTTCCATTGGAATTTGACGATTCCAACGGTGGGTTTTCCAGCGGGGGTAGAAATAAAAATTCCAACAGAAATTGCATACTTCAATGGAAATTCCTATGGTAAAAATTCATTGAAAATATAGTCGTTGGAATCATCAAATTTCATCTAAAGTTCGAATGAAAAACTCAATAGTCCAACGAAATATTTTCGTTGGAATTACCGTTGGAATCATCCCAACTGATATTATATCATTGAAATATTCATTGGAATTTATTGTCGTATGATTTTCCGATGGAATATACCAAGTTTTTTGTAGTGTAAGGTAAAATGCACCAAACTCCCCTGTAATATACTAAATCTGCGGATTGTCCCCCTCTATTTTAAAAAATGCGTCAAACCCCCTTCTATTGTAGTTTGGCTAGCATACTCTCCCCATCTAATGTCTGGGAGTTAACACCGTTAACTTTTTTGTGAACATCCCGTTATGCCCTTATCACTTGAGAAGTCACTCCCATCTGAAACAAAATTCATTTCTAACTTTTTAAATTCGCTCTCTCTCTCTCTCTTCTCTCTCTCTCTCCCCGATTGTTTCAAAAAAATCCCAATCTCAACACTACGATTCTCCAAAAAATTGTCGATCTTCAACCAATAATTTGTAGATGGATTGATGGCGCATAACATGATGCAACTTTATCTTCAATGTTCGAGCTGAATGGAGGAGTAATTTTCGATATTCAAAAGCTAGGGTTCAATTTGCAGCGACAACTTCTCGATTTCGATGGCGCATAAGGTACATTTCGAATCTTCAAAGATTAAAGGTTAATACCTGGAAATCCAATAGTTGCATTTGTAAAATTAGGGTTCTTATGTTATGTGGTTTCGAAAATAGGGTTACCCGTGAAGTGCGTGCTTGTGATTTGAAAATTAGGGAAACTCGATTGCTTCATTTGAAATTTTGAAAAATTCGATATCTTCTGATTTGGTAAACTTTTGTGCTTCTGATTCGGAAATTAGGGTTTTTTTATTATGAAATTAGGGTTTCTGATTTGGGAATTAAGGCGTTCTGTTTTTTTTTTAAATTAGGGTTTCTGATTTTGAAATTAGGGTTTCTGATTTGGAATTAAGGCTTTCTGATTTGGGAATTAGGGTTTTATATTTTTAAATTAGGGTTTATGATTTGTGAAATTAGGGCTTTCTGATTGTGAGTTTAGGGCTTTCGAATTTGGGAATTAGGGCTTTCTGATTTTGAGATTAGGGTTTCTCAATTTGAAAATATGACTTTTTTATTTTGAAACTAGGGCTTTCTGATTGTGAATTTAGGGCTTTCTGATTTGGGGGTTAGGGTGATTCATATACTATTTCTAGGTCGAATTGTGCTCATTGTTTAATGGAGTATAGTGTTGATGTTGTTTTTTGGTTGAATTGTTTCAATTTATACTATCTGTATAAAGTACTGAATGTGTTTGCATGGTTTGTAATTTGGAAATTAATGTTGTTTACTTTATCCTATATGTATGTGATCACTGATTTCATACATTAATCATATCATACTTGTTGAATTGCAGAATATGGCTATTGTATTTGATGTTAGAGTTGGTGGAGTGATAAAATGGGAGCCCTTTGTTCACTACTTTGGTGGTCAAAGAGTTGCAGTTGACTACTATGACATGGACAGATTGTCTATGTATGAGATAATGGATGTGTACAGACAGGCAGGTGGCAAGTCATCCATTGTGGATATTTTTTTCACACAAGCCTGGAAAAACTCTACAAACAGGAAAGCTGATTCAGATTGCCAGTGACAGTGATATTCTGAAGTTGGTGAAGAAGTATACTGGGCAATATGTCATCCCAATTTACTTTGAAGATTTGCATGGCCCTCTACAAGGATTGGACATTGAGGGGAATGTTATGGATGTACAAGAAGAGATCCCACTTATTGAATATCCACAAACTGAAGAGGATATTCTAATTGACAATTATTGTCCAGAAGATGAAGAAGAATCATACCATGATGCATGTTCACAAGATGTTGGTGGTGAGGTGGATCCTACAGAAGATGCTAATGATGTTGGTTCACATGAGGTGGATCCTACAAAAGATGCTAATGATGCTGGTTCACATGAGGTGGATCCTACAGAAGATACTAATTATGCTGCTTCAGATGATGGTGCTAGTCAGAGAGGTGATGCTGCTTCACATGATGGTGCTGTTCAGAGAGATGATGGTGGTTCACATGATGGTGCTGGTCAGAGAGATGAAGCACAACATGGTGAAGATAGATCTCAGACAGTTGGCCAAGAGGATGAACAAGTTGATGAGAGTGCAGAACAACAAAATGAGGGGGCAGAACAAGATTCTAAGGGGACAGACCATCATTTTGGTGATTCAGAGGATTCACAGGATTCAGAGTATGAACCTGAAGAAAGTAGTGGTGACTCTTCTGAATTATCTGAATGGGAATTGGAGGATCTAGAAGGCCCTGATGATGATGACATTTTCCAGCAGAGGGGTCATGATCATGCTAAGAAGATACACAAGAGGGCAAGAGAATGGGTGAAACTAAGAAGAAAGCAGAAGAAAAAAGCAAGAGAAGAAGCTGCAGGTTTGAAAAGGTCTAGAGGAAGAGATTGGTACAGTGAGGCTGAGGATGATGACAACTGCTTTGAAGAGCCTGATGAATGGAATGATAGTAGTGATATGTCAAGGTTTGATCTGAAAGTTGGTCAGAAATTTCCATGCAGAGCAAAATTCAAGGATGTCATCAGAGATTGGTCTGTTAGAAAAGGATATGATTTGAAGTTTCCCAAGAATGAAGCCAAGCTCATCACAGCACAATGCAAAAGTGGGTGTGACTGGCCTTTGAGGGCCTCAGTTATTGGAGGTTTGTCCACATTTCAGATCAAAACTTTAAAAAGAAAGCACACATGCTCTTACAGGACAGAGAACACACAGGCTGACTACATATATCTTGGGAAAAGAATGTTAGATACTCTGAAGGACAATCCTGGTGAGACTTTGGTAAGTCTGAAAAATAAAATCAAGAGGCATTGTGGGGTAGATGTCAGTATGCACAA